TGGATAAAAATAGTACATTATGTTATTAGGAGTAAACGTTAACTTAATTAAAAAGGAAATGAACAAAATAATCAGGGCCTTAGCAATGAAATCATAACAAACGTCATGCGTCAGTATGGGAATTTGTGTTAAAATTTTCGAAAGTGTTAATTTAACTAGTGCAGTTAATAGTGCAGAATGTCGAATGCTGATAATCTACAACGTCTTCAGACGTTACTGAAGCAGAAAAAAAGCAAGAAAGAAACAACATTGGTAAATGTCAGTAATGTCATGGTAAAAGTACAGACGCTTAGGCAAAAAAAAAATTTACTCCATGCTTGAAAAGTCAAAGTTTTACTTGTGACATTTATTAATAAAAGTGAGCACTTTTGCGACTTTTGCGGATCAACGATATTTATTTATTACTTAACAATTTTGGACAAACATAGACAACTTTTTCTTTAGTAGGTAATACGAAAAACGAAAAATTACTTTCACGCAAAGAGTAGGTATACAAAAGTTCTAGTTCGAATTTTGAAATACCTGATGGAAATGTGAATCAAGATTCCAAATGAATTAAGTATTTAAGATATAAAAAAAATATGTATGTTACCTTAAAGTTAGAGAAAAGTTTCTATGACCTTATCCCTTTGTAACCTTATAACCCTATATTTTATATCTTTTAAAAAAAATTAGTGAAAAAACTTGACATTATGGAAACGTAACAGACAACGAAATGTTCCAATTTTACCTCTTCTAAACGGCAAAATGTAATCCGGGGAGTCTAGAACTCGGTAAAATAGTCTCAAGATCAGGTTTTCGCGTACGCGACCGCGACAAAGGCGGCAAGCCAAAAAATAAAGTTTCTAATTAATCTGATGGTCGGGTCCACACCGCGACCAAGTGAAGAGGACATATCGGACACGGGACATATATCTTGTGTCTGCGAGCGCTGCCTGCTGTCCAGAAACAATAGGCCAGCCATTAGGCAAATGAACGCGCCCGTCTTACACCCGTCCACACCAACTTCTGCACATCCACGTTAGTCAAAGACACGACGACGACCGGTCCGAGCAACTCTTCTTACCTATATACAGTGTAACAAAAGTAACCACGCGGACTTTTTCCTCGTTTTTCTCGGGCATTAAGCGCACCTGTGTGTGTAGTTCGGTTAAAATTTTAAAMCGAATGCGGTTTTTGTTTGTTCGTCGTATAACTGATACGAATCAGCATGCGTTGGGAAAAATGGCAAATAGGCTCGAAATTTTACTTTTTTTGCATGCAAAGCAACGGGCGGTTAGTAATTATCGCTGTCAAAGCTTGTAGCTTCCCTTAACGGTCTCACAACACGCATCAAAATCGCCGACACCTCCATCAATACACACACACACTCTCTCTTATCAATTAAAGCGAGCTGGAACAAAGATAGTATCTCTGGTCTCGCGGCGGTCCCGCAAGCCTTCGGCGTTAACAACGATCTTGGCTTTACCGGCCGCGGTTTTTAATCGCGGCTGAAATGGATGAGGATAGAAAATTACACGTAAGTACGGCCTGGACGGTCGAGTTCTCTGCGTTTAATAAGTGATTTATATACGAATGCAATCGCTTTGAAAAGTGGCGCATTAAGGTCGTATTGCAATATATCAAAATTATATATCGGCGGGATTATGTGTTCGACCATCGACACCCACAGCTAGTATACACACGAGTGATTACCCGACACTAAACCGCACCGTTTGCACCACAAAACGGATCAAAAGTCAAATTCAGTGACAGAAAAACACAAATAAAAACATGCACCAATTAACTGTTAACCTTATTTTTAGCTACTGTCAAGTTGTATGTACATATTTTTGATAGGAAAATATAATAGCTGTCATTAATTTGAAATTGTCATTCATTTTAACGTTAAAGGTTGAATTACATTAAAGGTCAGAAAAGTGACGACCAAAGTATTTTGTCTCCAACTGTACACAAAGTTTATAAAAGTCAAAATTTTGACATTTATACATGAAATCATAACCATAATTTTTAACAAAATTTATAGACAAAAACAAAAAGCCACCAAAATTTCTAGCTATGCTATGCATTTTTTACCAAAATTTTTACTTGGTAATTTCCGTTTAAAAAAAAAAAACAGACTACTTGACGACAATACAGTGACAGACAGTGAATTTCGTCTATCCAATTTCCCTGACAGTTTAAAAGTGTTCTTTGGGTTTTTCTAACCTTATTTCAGAATTTTGATTAACGTTTGTCATGTTGACAGAATGCTGGATGCTCCTTGCTACTTTTTACCTTTGTCCTTTGTAATGGTAGTCCCTGGTATACCCAAAAGTATAGAGAAACGTCTTTGGGACATACGTTCTTGTACCAGGGAGATAATTTTTATTTTATTAAACGCACTTACTGCTGGCATGTTCAAATTTGATTAAATTTGACCATCGCCGTCTCCATAGAAATAATTCTTTTCTCGTCTGGGCATTTTTTGAGTTCAAGTGATTCCCGTTGGCGCTTTAATCTGGGGAAAATTTTTGACAAATCCAGTTTTTTAGTTTAAAGGGTTATCAATTCTCCCTGGCGTATCTAGTTTTGTTGTATCCTTCCTTCCCAGCATTTATTAATTGCGTTATTTTTCGTTAATAATTAAAAATTATTCAGTTTTTCCTTAGTAACCCCCGTAACTAAGAAAAAATCGGAATCACTGCTCCAATGCATTTTTTATGAAATGCCCAGGCGGGATATTGATACATTTGATTAAGGAGGCGGTGAATTTGACAATACGTATTTGAATGTCATCAGTTATCATGACAATAAAGCACAGACTACAGTGAATTTTTGTGAATTCACGAAGTTGGGTGGACGAAATTCACTGTCCATCACTGTACAGTAAAATAATGGTTTTCGGCCCTTGACAATATCAAATACCAAAATTTTCAAGAATTTTAAACACGTTATCGACATCTAAAAATTTCTGTTTTTTGGTAATATCATAAAGATTGGTGGAGTTACAAAGTGTATCAAAACGTCGCTCAACCGGACCGTTAATTAAATAACATCAAACACAAATTTCTCAATTAAGGTAGTAGTAGGTAGTAATTTTGAAGTAAATTCGAACATTTTTGTGATTAATTTTGACTTAGCTCGAATTAATTAATGTAATTCTGAATTAAAATTTAGTACAAATAATAAGAAAATATGTAATTGTAATGAAAAAACGTCTTACGAGAATAATCATTTATTTAAAAATAATTCTCATTTGGCACAAAACAGTAATTTCTGTTTGAAAAACCTCACCATCTGCGAAGTGTGAATTCTTGAAAGAGCGAAAATCAAAGCTGACTGAGAGACATAATCACGCGATCGATGTTTAATCGAAGACAATCGAAGGTCACTAACCCTTTCATAACCGAGGGTAAAACACGGAAATGAACCGGTTTTCAACGTGATAGACTTAATTCCTAATTAAAAAGATTAACTTTGATTAAATTATTTGTTTTGTTTCTTTGGATTTTATTTATTTACCCTGACCCTGAGCGGGGGTAATAATGGACCGGCCCATTATTGTTGAAAATGAAACAAATTGAATTAAATCGGGAAAATAGTAGAAAAATCTGACCTTTTCATCCACAGGACTCCTTTCACCATCCAAAAACGACCCCAAACCTTTTTCTTTCAAATTTTCAAAGTTTATTTTCAGGAATTTGAATCGGACGCGTTCACCCCTAATAAATTACTTAACTCAAGTGGCGACACCTTGCGTTAATTTTTTTCACGCCGCGAAATTTAAAAACAATTTTTGTTTACATTAATCTTTTTTTTGAAAATTGAACCAGTTGCAATGATTCACTCATTTAATTTACCAAACGGTTATAATAATTCTGCTGACTGATGTATGACTCAACGTAATAACAGAATTACGTCCGAAAAAATCRACCAAAAAACAGTCGTTCTTCAACAAAGAAATTACACGTGCGAACATTATCATTAAACTCGAACACTGTTAATGTTCCCGTTATCCATTTAAATACATTTACAATCGCATGTGTTATTACAATTTCATTTTAATTTAGCGTTGATTTTCCAGCGAGTAATTCACTCGATAGAACAAAAGAAGAAACAATATTTATTATTGGGACGAGTTGTGATTTTAACACAGATAGATGGTTTATTTTTTTATGTCGTTTCACAAAAGGTCATTTGAACAATTCATGAGTCACGTCTAAGAAGAGTAATTAAAAACAATTAAACATTGAATAATCACAACACTCATCATAAATGTAATTTATGTAACAACAAGAGACATGTGTAATTTGCATGACAGAGTGTTTGGCCATAAAAGACATAATTATGGCCGATTATTGACTCATTCTGTTACCACATTAAGTAGAAAGGATGCCTTTGGGCCTCACCCTTTTGTCTTATAAATCTTATAATTATTACCCTGCCATTGTGTGTATAATTGGTTGCCTACTTCCCATAATTAACACATTTATTTTTGTGATTGTTTTGATAAAAAATCTTACGACCGTCGATGTCCGGCGAAGTGACAGCACACATCGCCCCTCTTCTCCCTCTCAATCAATCCCCCGCCCACCCCGAGACTAAAAAACTCGATCAATACATAAAAATTTCATATTGAAAATGATTGAGGGCGGCAAGACGACGAGAGCAGGGCGGTGGCTCTTATACTTCTCCGATTCCACCTCAGATATGTCGGCCTTTTCCTCATTTAATTTCAGAGTAATGGCGTAATTGGCTTCTCTTCCAATTAAATATTTGTAGGAGCGGGTGAACACGCTATCCGACCAATGCAATATTTAAATTATTCCAGAGGGTTTTTGGCTTTAATCAGATGGACAAACTGAATTTTTAAGCGGTTTAAGGCCGGTTATTACCCGGATTCCAGATGGGATGAATTATTTACGTTCGGAAGAAGAAGGTTTAATCACTAGTTGGGGTTTAATCTAAATAATTCTATGGGGTTGAGATCGGGTGGTGATGCTGGCGTTTATTTTCAGGTGGCTGCAAAGAGGGTCCATGTTCGTACTCTCGCTCCAACAGTTCCTGAAACTCCTCCGCGTGGAACCCTCCTGGCACAAGGAGTCCCTCCTGGACCTGGGTGCCGGCGACGGCGAGGTCACCACTCACCTCTCGTCCCTCTTCGACAAGACCTACGTGACTGAGGTGTCCACCACCATGCGAACTCTTCTACAAAACCGGGGCTACTTGTGGGTATTTGATTTGATTTTTTCGTGCAGCAATAAAGCGCCAGATTGAATAATGCAATTCTCCTGCATCTGCGATACTGTTTAATTGCAGTATTCAGCTATCTCGAGTAATTAAAGTCGGTTTCATGTCATTGAGTAGTAAAACTTCGCTCATAAAACTAAGTGCAGAGTTAATTAAGACTTACTTAACAGATTGGGACAAGAGCTCTCGGGTGGACGATTTAAGTTTACGAGGGCTGGTCGAGATTTATCGGACTAATTAGGAGGGATACAAAGATGCAACAATGTCGCGTTTTTATGCATCGACTTTAATTAGCCCGACACAGCTTTTAAAATTATTGATACAACCTCAGAGCAGGTGTCTCAGGCTCAAAAACACTAAATTATTTTTAGTCACAACATTGTGGTAAAAGTTTGTTTTTAGTATCTACTATCAACAAAACTGTTTTTCTTTATTATTTGTTACAAAAAACCATCCACTTTATCTCTTTTTTACATAATTGCAGCCTCCTGGACATCGACACGTGGCACAAAACCCACAAATTCGACGTCATTTCCTGCCTCAACCTCATCGACCGCTGCGACACCCCCAACCAGCTCCTTGCCCAAATCAAAACTTCGCTCAAACCAGACGGCCTAGTCCTCCTCGCTGTCGTCCTCCCATTTTCCGCGTACGTGGAAGCAGGTGGGAACCCCCGCCGCCATTTCGTGAATCACCGCCATTTTGTTCCAGGTTCACGTGACCACAAACCAAAAGAGCTACTCCCAATCGTCGGTACTTGTTTCGAAGAACAAGTGAAAAGTGTAGTGGACGATGTTTTGACTCCTGCAGGATACGAAGTCGTATCCTGGACCAGAGTTCCCTATTTGTGCGAGGGGGATTTGCAGCAGTCGTACTATTGGCTCGACGATGTTGTTTTTGTTTTGAAAGTAGCCAATTGAATGACTGGAATTTGACAAAACGAGACATATCAAAAACTGTACTCTGTGTATTGTATGTTACTGGTCTTAGCCCCGCCCGTTGTGAGGGTGGGGCAATGACAGGTTAGGGCGGTTCTWGTGTCGAGTTTTATTTATTAGTAAGCCTAGTCCAWTGCGATTTTATTTTGTTATTACTGAAACAAAGGACTGACAATAGTGGGTAACTGGGTACCACATATCTGCTGCCAAATATTGCTGTCAATTATAGATATTTTCGAAATGTAATTTTTCTGATGACTTTTACATCAAATAAATCTTTTCTCTTTATTTTTTGRATTGTTGTCTTARTAATCAAATAAACAATCTTTGATTGGAAGTAAGAGATACTATTACAACAATAATTATATTATTTACATTTTTTATCTCACACCACAACAGTCTATTGTGACCAAAATGTTCCAATTCATTACACAATTAATTGTTAACTTGATCAAACAGAGWTAAACTCACACCAAAGACGTTGTCTTTTTAATTCAAAGTTTGTGTTAGAATTTTCGTATACGTGAATAAATCACTTTTATTACGTCTTATCTCCATGTTATTTAACTTGCATTAAATCTTAAAATTCTCGTCATGAAAGCTCAGCCAAAATTCTCTTAATGAAAAGATGCCAGTCATAGATTCTGCAATTGGAGGGTAAATAAGATAAGGTGAGCAAACCTTACGAGACTATTTATACATCAAAGAAGAGGAAACGCAACTTCTAGTCAACCAGAAGAAGTCGCGATGGCTGGTCTAACAACACTTCTTCCCGATGTTGCCAGAGTCGTACCCAAAGTGTTGTTCTCTTGGTACGACTACATCCTTTTTTGCGTCATGTTGGGTCTAAGTGCCRTGATCGGGATTTACTTCGGGTGCTTTGGCAGCAAGCAAAAATCAGCAGATGAGTATTTGATGGGGAACAAGAAGATGAAAGTGTTCCCGATTTCGGTTTCYCTGATTGCCAGGTATGTGAAAAAATTTGGCACGAAAAAAACTCAAAGTGATTTTTTAGCCACATTTCTGGGATCACTCTCTTGGCCGTACCMGCTGACATTTACCGCTACGGAGCCTCTTATTGGCTCCTGCTTATTGCAGCAATCTTTGTCACATTCGCAACAATTTACGTCTATCTCCCWGTCTTCTACAAACTACAAATTACCAGCACTTACGAGTACTTGGAACGAAGATTTGACAACCGAAACCGGATGTTAGCGTCGTTTCTTTTCGCCCTAGGCCTGTTTTTGTACTTACCAATTGTTATTTACATCCCGGCTTTAGCATTATCAGCCGCTACTGGAATCAACATCCATTTTATAACTCCSGTAGTCTGCGGAGTTTGCATTTTTTACACCACTCTCGGTGGTTTGAAAGCAGTGGTTTGGACTGACACTCTGCAGTTTACTGTCACAACAGGGGCTATTATCACGGTTTTTGTTATCGGGGTCAAGGCAGGGGGCGGCTTTGGGGCCATTTGGTCCAAAGCCCTGGAAGGACATCGACTGGATATTTTCGAGTAAGTGACATGAGTACAAGAGTGACACACTAATTTTTTTCTTTAGTTTTGACCCGGACCCAACCAAACGCGACTCTTTCTGGATTACATCAGTTGGTATGTCTATAGGGTGGCTCTCCATGGCGGGGATTCATCAAAGTTGTGTCCAGAAGTTCCTCTCCGTGTCCACATTCCAGGAATCAAAACGGTATACCTCCAAACCCGGATTTTTTATTTTTTAACACAATTTTTTAGATGCGTTATCTATTTCATGATTGGTATAAGCATCGTGTCGTCATTTAGTGTCTTCATTGGACTCATGATGTACGCACGCTACGCCCACTGTGATCCGTTTACGACCGGAACTGTGCAGAAAAACGACCAACTTTTGCCCTACTATGTCATGGACGTCGCATCTTATGTTCCGGGACTTTCCGGACTTTTCATCGCTGGGATTTTCTGTGCCGCTTTGAGTACCCTATCTGCCTGTCTCAATTGTTTAGCAGGAACCATGTATGAAGATTTCATTTCGAAAATAATTGGACACGTGGAGGAGAGAACCACGACTTATATTTTGAAACTATTGGTGGTTATAACCGGAGTTTTGTGTACGGCCTTGGTGTTTGTTATTGAGCATCTTGGAGGGATTCTCCCTTTGGCTATAAGTCTAGGAGGGGTTACATCAGGGCCTTTGTTGGGCATGTTCACACTTGGGATTTTGTTCCCGAAAGCTTCAAGTAAAGTAGGTTTTGTAGTAATTATTTTAATTTTTTTTAAAGATTATTTTTAGGGTTGTTTTTATGGATCAATTATTGCATTATTATTTGCGTCATGGATTGTCATGATGTCTCAGTATTACAAAGCACAAGGGAGCATAGTTGATGTGCCAAAACCGACGTCAGTGGATGGTTGTCTAGCTAACATTACAACAGTTTCTCCTTTTACCACACTTAATTCCACTTTATCATCGTTTGACACCGAAAACTCCACTATAAGTCACTTATTGAGCAATCTCACACAAATGTAAGTCACATGTTTAAAAATCGGCTTTTTTAATTTTTTGTATTACAGTACCCAAGATGGAGAAAAACCGAAACCATTTTTCTTATTCAGAGTATCGAATTACTACTACACTACAATAGGCGCTTCTGTTACAATAATTTGTGGGTTATTGATAAGTTATATATTAGAAAATGACGATCCACCCGTACATCGCGATTTTATAAGCCCGGTAGTTCATTTTGCCCTTCCAAACGACGACGACATTGAAAAAGAAAAAGACAAGGATTATTACAGTGTGGAAAAAGCGTTACATCTTGTTACAACCAACTGGGAAAAAAACGAAGACGACATGGAAAAAATTAAATCATGAATTTTGTATCAAATAAACTGTTATACAGTAAAACGTGAATCATTTTGTGAGCCCCTATACCAGATAAATGAGACGCTTATGCTTAGAATCCCAAAATGAGGAGATACCACTACCCACAAATTAAAATAACTAAAACTTTAAGTTTTAATTCAAAATGTGGCTTTAAAAATATATTTTTATTTAATAAAATTGGCGTTTTATGTGGTTAGAAGCTAAAAATATTAATTTTGTTGACTGAAACTGAAACAAAAATTAATTTCTGTTTATTTAACTACGCACGCCACTGGACATCTGTTACCAACCTGACTAAGAAGTATGGTTATGTGATTTTAAAAGTGAGGTTATATTTACCTAACAATTTGCTTTATAAATAACATTAAACGAAGAAGAAATGGATTCTGAAGAAAATTTGCACCGTTTGGAGGGTATAAGTGACCAAAAAGGCGGCTTGATCGTGAAAAAGAAGCCCCCAACGTTCAAAGTGCCCCAACCTTCTCTCTTGGGACTCGACCGTTTAGCGGCTGCAAAACGCAAGGAAAAGGAAGAAGCAGCTCGTAAAATGTCCTTTTCAATGGACGACAACGATAATCCTTACGATACAAGTCCACAATTTAAAGAAAAACCGGTGAAGGACAGTCGCAAATTCCGGATGCCCCATAACGAGACCCCCACGTACACAGGGGGGATCAGTGAGGAGGCCCGCGAACGTCTCATCGAGCGTCTAAACTCAAACAAACAGAAGGAAAAGGGGGTTTACGCGACGACGAAAGACCGACACCGGAAGGACTCGCACAAAGACAGGGAGCGCCACCGAGACAGAGAACGGGAGAGTTCGCACCGGTCGAAAACCCCTAGGTTCCGAGACGAGCCCAAAACCCCCAATTTGGGACACAAGGACGAAATTTCAAAGTCGTCATGGGATGACGATGACGACGTAGGGCCCTCGAAAAAGTCCTCGTGGGACTTCCCGACGCCCTCGACGTACAAGGGGGGCGGTGGTGATTGGTCGGAGAGGAGCACCAAGTCGCGCAAGTCCGAGCGAAGCTCCCGCGAGAGTAAAAGAAGGAAGTATGAGGACGAGAGTGCGAGGTTTACGCCAGCCCACAAGTATAATTCCTGGGCGAAAGACAGGAAGCGCAGTGGGGCGACACCCATGCCGGGGAAAGATGGGATTATCAAGTGGGATAATACCGTCGACCGGGAATTATGGGAGGAGGAGCAGAAGAGAATTGACAGGGAATGGTACAACATGGACGAGGGGTACGACGATGGGAATAACCCCTTTGCGAGCGTGAGCGAGGAGTATACGAAGAAGAAGGAAGAACAGTTGGAGCAAAGGAAGAAAAAGCGGCTTTCGGCCCAACAAAGACAGATAAATAAGGATAATGAGCTGTGGGAGAGGAACAGAATGTTGACTTCGGGGGCGGTACATTCCATCGATTTTAATGAAGATTACGATGAAGAATCCATCGATCGGGTCCACTTGTTGGTTCATAATATTGTGCCCCCGTTTTTGGACGGGAGGATTGTCTTCACTAAACAGCCAGAACCGGTCATTCCTGTTAGGTAAATGAAATTTCTGATCAAAGTGGCCTACTTGTCATTTAAAGTCAATGTTGCCAACTTAATTCCAGAGTCAGAAATTAAATTTTGTTTTTTTGTGTAGGGACCCCACTTCCGACATGGCCATAGTCTCGCGCAAAGGCTCCCATCTTGTACGAGTCTACCGTGAGCAGAAAGAGCGCAAAAAGGCCCAAAAGAAGCACTGGGAACTCGGGGGGACCAAAATCGGCAACATCATGGGAATCAAGAAAAAAGAAGAAGAAGAAGATAAACGTTTCAATAAAGACGACGACACTGCTGATTACAAAACCGATCAGAAATTCGCCGAACATATGAAATCGACGGAGGCCTCCAGCGACTTTGCCAAGAAGAAGACTATTTTGGAACAGAGACGATATTTGCCCGTTTTTGCCGTTAGGCAAGAATTGTTGAATGTTATCAGAGAGAATTCGGTTGTTATCATTGTGGGTAAGAGGATTGATGATGAAGCGGATGATGAGACGATATTTGGGAGAAAAAAAAATTAATTAACACATGACCTGTGCTTATCTTATCACGATAAGGAACGAGGACGATTTCTAGATAAACTGGATTAAAATTTCAAATGCGCAATACTTTTTGACGTAGGATTCTTGGATTGTTTAGGTTTTCAAGGGAAAATTGATTTTGATAATAAATTTGATAAAAAACAAGACATAATGGGATTGTACCAGGTTAATAACATCAACTAATCAAAAATGTCTTACAAAATCAATTTATAAAAATGTAATTAAAAAAAATTATAAAAAGTTTTAGGCTACTAATAATGACTTATTAAGTAAGAGTAGTATTAAATCTGTGACACAAAAGAGTAATCATTAACTGAAAAAAAGGCTCAAAAACGATCTTGAGCCGATTTTGTGACAAATATAAATTTTAAGACGCCACTACCTTCTTTTATGGAGAAAAAATACGATTCTATCATAATTTGTAGCAAAATTTGTGCTTTAGTATCAAAAATCTAATTAAAAATAAACATTTCCTTTAAAAAAAATAATTAAAACATCGTTAACATTGAATTATGATTTTTTGAAATTGCAGAAAATACATGAATTTTTCTACAATTTTAGTTTAGTTGAAAAAAATCTTTATTTGATATATTACACTATTACGTTTTGTTGTGCTTTACAGGGTGTCAGAAATAAGCTATGACGCGCGAGTCAACAACCAAATAAAAGAACAACAAACTAAACCAGAGTTAAATTGCTGAAAAAAATGATTTTTTTCAAACATCCATATTTTTGTCTTTGTAACTGGCCTTAAGGCTAGTAAAATTTCAAATTCTGAGACCTGGATTGAGACATTATTTAATTCTCAAAATTGGGTAACATCACCTCTTGATTTTTCCACGACCTTAATATTGCATCGTAACTGAGATAAGGAATTGTTGTTGAAAATAAATAAACAAGTACAAGTAAACAGAGTTCAATTCGGCATTGATTGAGGCAAATTATTATTTGTTTTAATCAACTGAATCTAATTACGTCAAAATTGAAATTTTCCTTGATCCTAACTCAACAATATTTCCATTAGTCAATGTTTAGTTTGATTGTAATTTGTTTACTGTTTACATTTTAACAGATTTTAACAATCTACAAACCACTCCTTGATACCATTTTCCTGTTTTTCACGATTAAGACTCAATTTTTTATTGTAGGGGAGACCGGAAGCGGGAAAACCACCCAACTCACCCAATACTTGCACGAGGATGGCTATAGCAAATACGGGATGATTGGTTGCACCCAACCGAGGAGAGTTGCGGCCATGTCTGTGGCTAAACGTGTCAGTGACGAAATGGGCACCCAATTAGGTAGAAGAATTAACAATTTTTTGTTCTTTATGAAAAAAAAAATGTGTAGGGGACGACGTCGGCTATGCTATCCGTTTCGAAGACTGCACTTCGGAAAACACCGTTATAAAGTACATGACCGATGGTATTTTGTTAAGGGAGAGTCTACGAGAGCCCGATTTGGACCACTACAGTGCTGTAATAATGGACGAGGCTCACGAGAGGTCGCTTAGTACCGATGTCCTTTTCGGTTTGTTACGAGAGGTAAGTAAGGAAACGATTTATCCAATGGTCAATTTTTTATTTAAATCTAACTACAACTTTTATAAAAAATAAGTCGTTACACGTCAATATAAAAGAAATAAATAACAGTCTTAAATTTAAGATAATACTAATTTTTACAATTAAATTTTTTTTGTGTTTTATTTAGCTGTCAGACTTCGAATTTTTAGGAAGAAACCGCCGGTATTTAATCGCAGTTGATCCGTAATCTGTAACAAAATTTATTTATTTGAAGCATGATGTGGCGCCGAATATTATCTCATTTTATCTCTATTTGTATATATTTTCACACGTAAATACTTTATCTGGATATCAGTGGTGCAACGCAAACTCTGTACTGAACTTAATTATCATACAATTAGAAAAAATGACTTTTGAACAAATGACTCAACGGTAAATTAATTAATTGTTTCATAAAAATCGCATTTCACTAATTGGCTAATGACAGGTGTGGCAATTGTTTTTTTAAAATAACGGCCTTGGAGGTCTTTTATAAAATTCCAACACTCGCAAACAATTGGGAATTTATTTCTTTTCATTGTTCTTTCCCAACATTTGTAATTTTAGTGCAGCGAGAGCGTTATTGACAAGAGCATCAATTGCCGAATAACAATATTTGACATCACGAGTTATTCGAAGTATTAAATTTCGAAAAATAAAAGAATAATTCAAAAAACTAAAAAAATAGTCTTTCGTTCATAGTACACATTAAAAAATATTTGAACAGATATTTGTAGTCTTTTGAAACTTTTTCATTTACTAAAATAATATTTTTTTTAACATCGAATAAATAAAAATATTGTTTATAGCACAAGGAATTTTATGTTGAATCTTTTGTGTAAATAATTGGTTAATATCTTTTTTTTGGTTTATGTCCATCTAGGAGTTTTTCCCATTTTTTTAAGAATTTGCTAAGAGACAACAATTTCTAATTTTTTCATAGATTAAAATTTTTGTCCAATGTCCAAGGAGATAAAAATAAATGTGTAGAAAATTAACCCTCCACGCGTTCTTTGACGTTATTGGCAAAAAAGGATGTTTATTCTCAATCAAAGGTTTTTGGTTCCAAATTGTTGTCATTTCACTTAATTGCCAATTGCCACTACGTCAAAGTTACTACGTCAATTTTTTTTTAATTTCTGTCAATAAAAACACGCTTTTAGGACAGGTAGCACCCGTCATAATAAATATTTTTTTAACGCAAAAACTGCTAAACTCACCTTTCTCATTCTGACGTTGGTCGCGACAGGGCCGTACCGGCAATAATAGGCGAAATGTTCGGTATTGTGCCACTTCCGTTTTGAATTTTCGGCCGCTAGAATCTGATTCCGGACGGTGTCTTCCGGTAATGGCGTCTCGGTCTTGTCACATTTATTGTTAATTTTGACACAGGTCCCTTCGGGCCAGAATTCGACCAATTTGCAGGGCAGGACTTTGAATTTACCTTTGTTTTCGGTGATTGTGTAGATTGTCAAATATTCCGGATTTTTGCTTTTTTCTATAGAAAGAGTTGTAGAAAAAATCACGCATGGAACTCGGGACTTACCGTAGTTGGGCGCCCAAATCGCCACCCCGTATTTCGAAACGTCGTTTTCTTTCTGTTCGACGATGAATCCTGATTCGACCACAGCACAAAAAACGCTCATTTCCGCGTGTGTGAACCACTTCGACTCGCGAAGTTTTTGGCCGACAACGAAACTTCCGGTTCTTTTGACGTTTTCTTGCTTGAGTTGGAACACTGTGGTCGTGCTGCTCACTTTGGGGAGGTTGCCACCATTGCGTTCCCTCCGGTTTTGCTGCTGTTTGTTGAGGTGGATGTTGGCGAGGGTTTCTGTCATCATTTTTGGGGATTAGTACTCGACTCACACTCTTTCACACTACTGATACGTTTGGTTGGCTTGTTGGTATACAAAAAGTGTGACTTTTATCACAGCTGATAAGAAATTTTTGTAAATAATCGCGCGCGCGACTCGATTCAGGTGTGCAAAAATTCGCACTTGATTTTTAATTTGGGTCGACGTTTGATTACACAACGAAGGCAAACGAAGAGGTATTACGTCGACGTCGCGACGACGAAAACTTCAATAAAACTCGGTGAAGTTTTAAAATAGAAAAAGTGACGATCGGCGATCAGCCAATCGACGATACGGATAATTATACACAGTGTTTTTCAAATGTAGCGAATTTTATCGCGACGGCCTTATCATAAGAGTTCGACCTTTTTTTTTTCGAAAAGTTAAAACGCAGCGATAAAGTTTTGTCGCAATTTGGAAAAGAGAGAGTTTTGATTGTTTTTTTTTATGAAGTTTGAATAAGATTTTGAACAGATAACAAGGATGCGATAGGCTCTTTGAATTGATAAATGACTTTTGTTCAAGAAATATGACTAAAATCTTATCGAGAAAAGGATTTGCGTATGATAGCTAAGAATTTCCGATTTTTTTTTGGGAATTTTAGAAATTTCAATATTCATGAATTTTATGTTTTTTAAGCTTTCTTTTTCAGAATTGCTTCGAATTTTGATCGAATTTAAGATTATACAGGTTGATTCGCATAAGATGACGACCCTTACGAGAATAAAGTGCAACACAAAATAGACATGCATTTACATATCAGAAAGTTTTGTGTTGCATTTTATTTTTGAAGTTCTCATCTTATTGCGTGTACTGAGGGCAATTTAATTCTACGATGTTTAATATTGTAGGCTCAATTATCTTATATCCATTTTATTAAACTTGGGCATAAATTAATCAAACAAACATAAAAACATTTAAAAAGGAAGTAAAAAAATATGGATTTACTGATTTAATTTAGTATGAAATGACATCACCAAAAAGGATATGACTGGTTTTAAAAATGCTTCAAAATTTGAATGAAAATTTATTCTGCGAGCTAATTTGTTTTTTTTCTAAAAAATTAAAAAATGTTTGGTTTCATACTTTTTGTTCATCTGGTATTTTTTTCTAAAGTACCTTCAATTCAATTTCTAATCTAAGTCGTCTGTGATTCTGAAATTCAGTTGGCAGCATTGAATAATGTACAATGAGGGATATCAAATTTCATATCTTTTGTCACTTTTTATTTTACCAACTGAGTTTTAAATTCATGGAATGAAGACAGAGTATAAAAAAATCCAACAGTATTATTCATAAAAAAAAATATTGAATTTGAGGAAGGTTTTAAATTACAGCTTAACAAACAATTTGTCCAAAGTAAAAATTCCTGAAGGCCCTGTAAATTTTTTGGGTGCATTATCGTCTAATTTACTGTTTTAACTTATTTTTAATTATCACTTCGTAATACTATTTACTTCACCATTACAGCCAAATTAGCTTAAAGCAAAAATAAAAAACCCAAATTTAATTTATGGTTTTTAAAAGTGTTAAATTTGCAAAGTTGACAGCTGCAAACTACTTTTAATTACCATGACCTTGGCAATTAAAAATTTTCCTTGAATTTGACTACGGAATTAGATTGAGTCCGTATATAAAACCTGGAAGAATTATTACTTTGAAACTGTGCCAGAATTACTCCATTGAACAAATTATTTGTTACAAAGATAAAAAAATTTTGGCACAATAAAAACTTATTTTTGGTATTCACTTGACGTAAAAAAGTACATCACTTAAGTTCTGGTAGAATTCCGAAAAAATTCAGAAAAATTGACCGACCTTGAACAATATAGTTTAAGTTGACGTTTAGTTTATGTATTTTTTATTATTCAAGGTTACCAATTGAAAATACAATAAGAACACTAAATTACGAAAAAAAAACCACTTTCAGACTATAAGTGAGTACAAATTTTACTGTGGTTGTAGTACTAAAAGAAAATGTATTTGAGGCAATTTAAAATTCGAATATTTGTTGTTTGTTTCGAATTTATGACATTTGTCACGTTATCCCAACCAAATGGGTTTACCAAAGCGATAAAGTTCATGTTATCGAAACAACAGAGGATTTTGTTCAAAAGTGCATACAAATTAGTCATTTTCAATTATAAATTTAGAAATTTAGAAAAGTAAGGTCATAAAAATATTGTTTTCGGAACCTGATAACGCGTAAAAGCTATTAAATGTCGATATCGATTTTTATTACGACTTAAGTGTTATATATTATTGTGCTAAATATATCCCSTTATCAGTTTGTTTAAAATTTGAAAATAATATTATTTACARTGCACCTTTTCAAMTTCCAACTTATTACTACAACAAAAATTGATAGAAAACGAAGTATTTAACCCGTATTATATTAATTTTAATTAACATTTTTCGAAATTATCTCGTCAGTGTTATTTCCGTCAACATAACCGATAACCGACAAAAAACCCGAGTTTATTGACTCTAATAAAAACATGTCAGCGAAACTAATTATAAATTATGAATATGAATTAATACAATGGAATAATGACAGAGAGATTGACCCGTACTTACCGTCCATATATGCATACTCCATGATGAACGCACGTGCGAGAAGCAACGTAGACCACTTTAAACTTTCTCTTTATAGAAGAAAAGCGAAGAACTTATGGAATGTTCACAACAACAATTACATTGACAATGAAAGAGCGCGCGATTTTTGCTTATCATGGAGTGAAACAGCGCCTGTAGAGGGCACCAGAAAACAAAACACTTTGTTTATTTACGATCTGATAAAACTGCGTTCCGAAATAAAACATTTTTACTTTGGGATGATTTTTTATTTTWTTWTTTCACAAATTTAAAGCTGGATTTTTAACAGATTGTCGCCCGCCGTCACGACCTCAAACTCATCGTCACCTCGGCCACTATGGATTCGAGCAAATTCTCCATGTTTTTCGGCAACGTCCCCACATTCACAATCCCCGGTCGCACATTCCCTGTCGAAATCCTCTTCAGTAAAAATCCRGTTGAGGATTATGTCGACGCTGCGGTCAAACAYGCCCTCCAAATCCACCTCCAACCTCCATCGGGAGACATCCTCATTTTCATGCCCGGTCAGGAGGACATCGAAGTGACCTGCGAAGTCCTCGCTGAGAGACTTGCTGAGATCGAAAACGCACCAGAATTGTCCATTTTGCCGATTTATTCGCAACTACCGTCCGACCTACAAGCGAAAATCTTCCAAAGGTCACCAGAAGGGATCAGGAAGTGTGTGGTGGCGACGAATATCGCCGAAACGTCGTTGACCGTCGATGGAATTATTTTCGTCATTGATTCGGGGTATTGCAAGTTGAAGGTCTATAATCCCAGGATTGGTATGGATGCGCTCCAGATTTACCCAATAAGTCAAGCCAATGCTAACCAAAGGTCGGGAAGGGCGGGGCGTACTGGTCCAGGTCAGGCTTTCCGACTCTACACCGAAAGGCAATACAAAGAAGAATTGCTTGTAACGACAGTACCTGAAATTCAACGAACGAATTTAGCCAATACGGTCCTGTTATTAAAATCGTTGGGAGTGCAAGATTTGCTTCAATTCCACTTCATGGATCCACCTCCTCAAGTAAGAAAAATTTGAAACTAGACAAAATACAGGGTGTCCCAGAGCTCCGTATTTCTTCGATTACTCTGACAGTAAAGAAGAACGAAATTCGATTTCTTCTGGACGATAGACATTCATTTTTTCTATGGTTCAAAAATATTTTCGTCATTATAGGTAATTTCTGTATAAGGTGGCGCAACAAAGTTATATTTTTTCTTATGGAATACCCGGTAGATTATGCGCTTATTTGAAAGAGTTTTTAATTCTAAGAATATCCATATTAGGTTTTATGGCTCTATCATCGACTGTTTATTATTTATGAGCAATTTTATGAAAAAAAGTACTATTTTTGAAAAATCGCAGGGGCTTTGCTAGAAAGAAAAAGTGATTAAAAACAATTTCAACCATTATTACTGAGTCTGGTCTTAAATTATTATGGTTGAAATTCGATCAACCTTTTACAACTACTGCCGAGTGTTGACATTTGCAAAATATCATTTATCTTGATTTTTTCAAATGAAACACCCTGTATGTTATTACTTTATCGTGTAGAGCTTTTAGTAYGCTTTCTAAAAAACCTAGMGTTTGGAGGTCTAAACCTTACCTGTTTTATTGTACACCTTTTTAAACCTACAAAATTTTAAATTATTTTATTTAGCCTTAAAAATCAAGTAGGTTTGCGGGGTAGTTCCTCTTCTAAAAAAGTTAGATAATTTTTTAAAGTTACGTTATTACCATACATCAATCAAGAAAACAGGTTGTTTATTGAAATACTAAGTAAAACTCAAGAAACGCTAATTGGAATTTAACACCTTCTCTTCAACACACCCCGATAAAAAGAAATCAATTGTAGTCAAATCTGGAGATCGCGGTGGTCAAAGCAAAAGTCCTCCCCTCCCAATCTATCGATTAAGAAATCTGTTGCTAAAAATTGTCGCACAATGCGACAAAAATGAAGAGGAGCTCCATCATGCTGTAGCTACATAATTCTACATTCTCTAACAAATGTGATTGATTGATATGGTGTTAACGTAACTTTAAAAAAATAACTTTTTTAGCGCAAACATACTTGATTTTTAAGACTAAATAGAATAAGTCAAAACAGGTAAGGTTTAGACCTCCAAACCCTAGGTTTTTTAGAAAGCTTATTAAAAGCTCTACACGATAAAGTAATAACTTACTGGGTGTTTCATTTGAAAAAATCAAGATAATTGATATTTTGCGAATGTCAACACTCTGCAGTAGTTACAAAAGATGAATTTGTACCATAATAATTTAGGCCCAGACTCAGTAAAAATAGTTGCAATTGTTTTTATTCACTTTTTCTTTTTAGTAAAGCCGCTGCGATTTTACAAAAATGGTACTTTTTTATATAAAATTGCCCATAAATGATAAACGGTCCATGATAGACCCATAAAACCTAATATGGATATTCTTAGAATTAAAAACTCTTTCAAATAAGCGCATAATATACTGGGTGTTCCATAAGAAAAAATATAACTTTGTTGCGCCACCCTATATAGAAATTACCTATAATAACGAAATTATTTTTGGACCATAGAAAAAATGAATGTCTATCGTCCACAAGAAATTTCATTATCTTCTTTACTGTCAGAGTAATCGAAGAAATACAGAGCTCTGGGACAGCCTGTATTATTTTTTTTTGTTTCTTTTAGGATAACATCCTCAATTCCTTATACCAACTATGGATTTTGGGTGCTCTTGACCATACCGGTGTCCTGACTAAATTAGGCCGACAAATGGCCGAATTRCCCCTTGACCCACCCCAATGTCAAATGTTAATCGTCTCAAGTCAAATGGGATGTACTGCAGAAATTTTGATAATTGTATCAATGTTATCAGTACCGTCGATTTTCTATAGGCCGAAAGGACGCGAAGAGGAAGCCGATGGAGTCCGAGAGAAGTTTCAAGTTCCGGAAAGTGACCACTTGACTTACCTCAATGTTTACAACCAATGGAAACAAAACAAATACTCATCGCATTGGTGTAACGAGCATTTTATCCACATTAAAGCAATGCGAAAAGTGAGAGAAGTGAGGCAACAATTGAAGGATATTCTCGTGCAACAAAAACTGGAAATCAAGTCGTGTGGTACCGACTGGGATATTGTTCGGAAGTGCATTTGCTCTGGTAAGTGTCAAAAACACCAATTTACGATTTCGGGAAATGTTTGTTTTTTCTTCAGCTTATTTCCACCAAGCCGCACGTTTGAAGGGCATTGGCGAGTATGTGAACTGCCGTACGGGCATGCCCTGCCACCTGCACCCCACGTCGGCCCTTTTCGGTCTTGGGAGCACCCCCGACTACGTCGTCTACCACGAGTTGGTGATGACGGCCCGCGAGTACATGCAGTGTGTCACTGCAGTGGACGGGCATTGGTTGGCCGAATTGGGCCCAATGTTCTTCTCTTTGAAAGAAACTGGGAAAAGTGGAAGGGCGAAGAAGAAGCAAGCGGCTGAGCATCTCCAAGAGATGGAGAATCAGATGCAGGTGGCGCAGGAAGAGATGAGGGCGAGGAAGGAAGCGGCGGATAAAAGAGAGGCGGCCATGAATAAGGGACAGGAGATTGTTTCAGCTGGGGCGACGCCGAGGAGGACACCGGCTCGATTCGGGCTATAAATTTTATTTATTATTTTTGTAACAATAAAAGTTTAAAAGTGTTTGTCTGGTAATTGTTGACAACCTGTTGAACATTTCCAAAAGCAAGTGGAGAGGAAGTCGAGGACGTGGTTGAGGATGGAGGGTTCGATGCGAGCGCGGTTACTGATCCGGACTGAAACTTACTAATTATTTTTYGGGATTTTTATCATTGTTGTGGTACGTCTAGATGAGCGACGTTTGCAGTAAATATCTTCGATGGGTCCGTCCAGACTTGACACTGATGATAATTCACTGATAACACTGTTTTTGTCGAAATTCATGTCAAGGGAACAAGTAGAACAATTGGGGGTAATGACAGGGCTTTCTGGAAAGTTGAAAAAGTTGCGATGAGGGTGCATAATTCAGTTTTACCTTCAAGTTCGTCACTTGTAGGACTCGGCCATGAGAAACTATCGTCGTGTTTTATAAAAGTTATGTCGATTGTTTCAGGACTGGGGGTTTTTTTCGCTCTGAAATTCATAAGTCTGAACTATGGGAAAATTAACTGACAGAACAATTTTGAATTTTGATAGCAGTGTTGTCAGAATAGTAGAGTTCCTATACAGAGTGTTTCATACAACTTTACGAGGCTTGCGCCTAATATAGGCACCCAAATATACACGAGTCACAAAACACTGGATACAAAACATACATCTAATTATTGAATTTTTGGAAACTCATGACACTAGTTGGCAAACTAATCACTGTTTCATTAATAGTCATAAACTGCAGTTTTTCAGAAACAGTTATCATTTGTTCTTTCAAGAGACGGCATGAATATGATTCTAGTTTATCTATCTTAATCACTAACTAACTAAAAACATTGTAATTTTTGAAAGGGTAAACAAACTACAGAGGTTTATCAAATTTTTCAAAATTTGTAATCGAGTTCGTATTGGAATATGTATTATTATCTTACAAGTGCAGGCTTCGTAAAATTATGTGAAACACCCTTATTTGAAAAGTTAAGATACTGAAACCGAGCCAATTTTGAAGGGGTTGTTTGTATTATAAAGAGGGCTGATGTTACAACTTTTAAAAGTACACTAAAAGTATCCCCTTGTAAATACAAATTGACCTGTCTCGGGATTTTTATATTGTATCTAATTTTTTTATTTTTCTGAGATACACAGGGTGGCTCGTTTTAAAAAAAATCACCCTGTAGGTATGTTAGCTATATTTTGTCTGTTATTAATTATTAAACTTCAAAAATGTATAATTATTTTTTGTTTTTTTTACATTGAATTTTTGTTTTTGTAATTTTTCTACATTCGCAGAACCATCATCTCTAAGCGCCCAAATAATATACTTATCTTCAGCTACATATTCATCGTACCATTGATTAGCATTCAACGTAATTTTGAAACATCCTGTACTTATATGAATAAAAATATTTTTATTTAGAATGTGTCTCACTGTCGATCCTACCATTTAAAAAAATCAAGTCGATCTATACAGGGTGCTCCAGAACTCGCGCCCCAGAAAAAAAATGCCATATAAGGTAAGATACCAGGAACATAGAAAAAATGTAAAAAAAATTGTATCTGTAAAAATTTCGAAGTTATGAGGGTTTAAAGTTTGCACTTTGACTCTATTTATTTCTGTTGGAAAAATAATTTTCCAAGTTTTTTTGCTATAGGCTATTAAAAGAGGAAACAAGGAAGCTGTATTCTAAATTGTAATTCTGTTCAATGTTATTTGTGGCTTTTATTGGCAAAATTTTTGTCGCTTTACTAAATAATTGTAAAAAAACATATACAAGATCATCAGTATCATTAAATAGATATAAAAAAATGTCAAATGTCAAAATGGTATCTTACCTGACTTGAAAATTTTCTCTGGGACGCGAGTTCTGGCGCACCCTGTCGAAAAAATGTTGCACACACCCTTGGGTCACCCTGTATTTGTTTGAGACTTCGAGTTCTGATTCTAGTTTTTCGCATTTATTTTTAATGTAAAATGAATAAGATCATTTCCGGTTTGTAAGGTTAGCTCTATTTAGTAGCAAAAATTCTTGAAATTGTTTCTGAATAAAACTGAAAAACGACTTTTTTTTTAATTGACTTGGTTTGTAAGATTCTTTATTTAATTCATTAATTTAATACTTGATAATTCAAATTTTTAAGTGATTTTCACTTCTGTATGTTTTTTCAGTCAATTGGTCGAATTCTAGGAGAATTTTATCATTTGAGACGGAATTAAGAACAAAAATGCAAAAATCGGGAAAATATAAAAAATTCGACTTGCGCGTAATGTGAATTTATACTCAGTAACTCAAATTCGGTGCTACTTTAATGGCAGATTTAGATATTTTACAAAAATTGTATACAATCATAATCAGTCGACTTTGATACATCAACTCTTTTCTTTAAACAAAAGTCAAGAAACTCGGTAGAAGTTCGTGTTTGGACGTATCAAACGCTATCAAACGAGATAGCGTTCGTAGCCAATCAGATGTGAGCATTTTGACGTCATGTCTAACGGATTAGAGGGTTGTGTAATCTTGCGATTTAAAATCCCTTTGTTGTGAATACAAGTGTAAAGGGCGCAAAAAATGGTGACGTCGTAGTATTGGGTAATATTCCAATTGCTTTGTGACGTGTCAAACGGACGGAATTAGAACAAAGTCCTTTTGCACCGGAACTGTTACAAAATGTTTTTTTGTGCCGTTTTTGAGGAAATTATTACAATAACAAGTCAGTCTTAGCGAAGCTCCCGTACGAATCAGTTGTCCGGATAAATTATTATTTATTATTTGGAGGTTCAGTGCGAAATCGTGTTAAAATGGGGGCTATACACACAGTGCGTGTGTGTTGTGTATTCTCGAGTGCRTGAAAGACATTTAGTAGTGCGCGATTTTTAAAATTTCGAGTGACTAGTGAGTGCCAATGGGGGTAATGGAGAAGACAATCGTGCTACAAGGGTCCGGATTAAAGGGTAAGTCAACAATACTTTTTAAATTTTTAGAAAAGTTAGGGTAGATTTATAAAAGCCGAATTAAATATTTGATTGAAATTAAATTTAATTCGTTACGTAATTGGTTGAATTTTGATAAAAAACCAATCAGATTTCAGAATTTTGAAGTTAATTGCAATTAACTTAGTTCTAATTTAATTCACTTTCTGTAAACCCACACTTACACTTTTATTATTTTTTTTTAAATTTTCAAATGATTTGATACGAGTAACACACTGAACTAATTTTGTGTTTCTTTATTTTCAGTAGGTCCGTTCTATGAAGATGAGGGGAATCGCTACAAATGGTAGCAGAAGATGATGCCATATAAGGTCAGAGCATTTTATTTTATTCTTTTTTTGTTTATTGCAAAGTGAACTGTGCGAAACTCGGTGACCAGTGAGTGCGTGTTGTGTTTTCGAGTGCTTAATAGACATTTAGTAGTGCGCGATTTTTAAAATTTCGAGTGATTAGTTAGTGCKAATGGGGGAATGGAGAAGACAATCGTGCTACAAGGATCCGGATTAAAGGGTAAGTCAACAATACATTTTGATTCTTTAGAGAAATTACACTTA